ACACAGTACCAAAACTACAGAAGAACAAATCACCAAAAATGAGCTATTATTCTGGGCATAAAATTAGAACCTACGAAACTCCAAACAAAAAATTGATAGTTTAAAATGTAGATCAATGTCTCTTGAACACCCAGATAAAATTTTAGCTTAATCCAATGGTGAACTTTTGCAAATAGGACAAAATAGCAAAGCTGCACGTAGTGTCAAAACTGTAGAAATTTCCCCTGTTTTCTTTTCCTTTTTTGCTGATTGGCTTCACTCACATGCACTCCACTTTCTGCTATATCTCCAAAAAACAAACTTGTTTTATGTGTATAATGGGCTGCAAAATCATGGGCTAAAACAAATATGATTTTGTGAGAAAATAAACTTTTCCTCAAGATATTGGAGACTCAAGATTCTAATTTGGTGCTTGAATGTACTGTTCGACTAGAACAGCAAGAGGGAGAAAGGAAAGGAGAGAGAGAAAGAAAGGGCTAGGTGCGTTTGGTGAGTTACAAGGAAGTGTGTGACGTATTAAGTAACATATACCGTCAGTGTGTAACAGAGTGTATAACTTTACAGGGTGTAGTATCATTGTCCTTAATTTTCTGGCCAACAATAAACATGACTTTTTGTAGAATTCATGGTTTTGCAATCACTGACGATGGGAAGTCACTTCTCTATCATGAAAGAAAGAAGGGACATAGACATTTGTGGCTTCTATACCATCAGTCTCTAGTTCTGATGATGATTAAAAGGTCGAAGAAGACAACTCCATCGCTTCCACTATATTTAGCATATATATATCTAACAACTTGCATTTCATTATCCTCTACTTCCTCTTCATTTTCTTAAATATGAATTTGTAGCCTTATTGGTAATAAGTCCATTGTAGAGATGGAGAAAATTATTAAGTGAAAAAGAGGAATACTAAGAAAATTCTTTATAAGCCTATCTTTTGAACATTCTCCATGTAATTAGGGCACATATGACATAAATTTAATGTGATTGATCATAAAATTTAAATTTAAGAACATTAACTTTAATGTCAATGATTAATTACCAATCACATTAAATTTATATTTCATGTGACCCAATTACATAAAAGGTGCTCAAAAGAGAAGGTTTAAGAGAATAATGTTAAAGAGAGTGTTCCTAGCACTCAATGAAAAAATCACAGATTGATCAATTTCCAAACTTAGAAGAGGAAATGGATAGAAGATGAGCGCAAGGGCGGTTTAGCACTAGTAGCTAGTGCCAGTTGTGGGTTGTTTTTAGGTTTGGAGGAATAACAATATTTTTGGAAAGAGGGAGTAGGAAAGTGATCGCTTGCTTAACTTTATATAGCAATTGGTATATATGATGCTCTAGAGGCAAAGTGCAAAATGGGAGTTTCTTACTGTTGATTAATATATTATTAATTAAAAAAAATTGCTACACCCTTAATTTGGTTTAATACACCTTTTAAAACTCACCCGTTCAACCATTAAATATTATAGTTTTTAGTTTTTTTTGTTTTTAATTCAAATTTAAAAATAACAACTTTTTAATAAGTGTGTTGTGGAATATGTTGAATCGAAATGTGTCTATATCATTGTCTTATTAATTAATCAGAAATGATTGATATGCTTTTTAATTCAACACTCTCTCCAATATCCATCGATTCAACCATTAAAATCTGTAGTTTTAGTTTTTTCGTCCTTAATTCAAATTTGAAAATAATAATTTCTTAATAAATATATTGTGAAATATATTAAATCAAAAGGTATATCAATTATTGTACTAATTAATTAATTAATCAATCATTAAAATGGGTTAATTTACAAACCCATGTCAATGCTAGATTATAGAATCGGTTCTGTTGGGAATGGGCCCAACATTCAATCTGGGCCATGTATAACAGGCTCAATCATACATCCATAAGCCCAAAATGAAGAGACATCCATACACTAGTACAGACATACCCACGTGGGTAGTAACATGTGGACCAATTGATGCTTACACATATGGACTCAAGTCAACATATGGGGCTATAAATAGCCCCCAACTACCTCCACTCAAGGCATTAACTCCATTACACTTCTCTCTCTGCAATTATTTCTTGAGAGCTTCTCTCTATAGAATATTGAGTATTGCTAACTTGAGCGTCGGAGTGTTTTTCCCGATAAAACATCCTTGGGATTTTCAGGTGTTGAAGCAGTTGAAAATATCTATAACCTAGAATTGGGAAGTTGCTCAAACAGGTTCAATATGCCATCCAAGTCAAAGAAAAAGGAAACAACCTACACTAGTAGTATAACCACACCTTAAAAAAAGAACACTCAGGTCCTGGTGGAAGTTGGCCTACAAAAAATAGGAAGACCGGACGCATTACAGACCTAAGAACTCTACAGGCGTAACTGTTAAAAGTTTAACTTGGTAGTAGTTATATATAAGTCATGTGACATTTATATAACACTCAATCCCACTTTATCTCTAGGTATGAGAATCAAGATGTGACAATTTTAAAAATTTCGCCTTCAATCCTCAAGAATCTATATGCAATTGAAAATGAAAATTGGTGTTTGGTTGTCCTTAGAAAACATAATAATTATAGAGAGGCTCAAGGAGGTCTCAAGCAATTAAAAATTTTAACTTTTAAATTTATACTCTGAGATGGGTGGAAAAGGGAGAACTACTTTTAATTGTATTTTTTATTATTTAAGGTTCAAAAAAAAAAAAAAAAAAAAAAATAAGGATAGAGAGAGAGGCATATGAATTCATATATCTACTATGTTGTATTGAGTTTAACATTAAAGATTTAGAGCCGTAGTATCTGAATTTGGTAGTTGCAAGTTCACGACATTCAACATGAATAACGTTCCTCCATTTACTTTCGTAGCTGAAATTTTGGTCCACTCCACGCACATGATGTTGACCCAAGAGACCATATTCAATAATTTCTTGTAAACTTCCACCTAACAGTGTTCAAGTATTTTAGACCATAATGTTACACATAAATCCTGCATAACCTCAACTTTTAGGAAGCCAATATATATATGTATATTTAAACTAATTTGAAAGGTTTTAACTAAGTTGAAGTCTTCGGGTATTTCTCAAGAAAGTTGATTAAACCAAACATGGCTTATGGATAAGGTTGATCAATGACTTCTCTACTCTACATTTCCCTTTATGTTCATGTAGGAAAATGATTGTTACGCACTTAATTCAATATATTTTTTTATATTCATTCAGTTTAATCATTAAACATATAATATAAATATGACAATTTAGTTAGTTTTTGCATTCAGTTGCATGATTACATCTTTAAATTTGTTTATTTTTAATTTTATATCAAAAAATAATAATTTTTTTATTAAGTATGTTGTATAATATATTAAATTAAAATATGTATCAATCAATGTTCTTTTGGATATTATTGCTTTTTTATGATATTGGTGAGAGGAAACCACATATATAGATGAGAGAAGGATTTAAGTCCATGTATTGTGTGGGGGTGCGCATATGGGGCATAGTACTTTGCCCCTAATAACCATGACCCCAATAACCATGGCCTCTTTGGCAACCCCCTTGAGTGGTCCTTAACATGGTACTAAGTCTCCTATGTCTTGTAAACAACAAGTACTCTCCTATGTCTGGTGGTTATCTTCATTTTCCTCCACATATAAGTTTGATTTCTTCACTCTTCTTTCCAATGCAATAAAAATTTTAAGTAGGGCCCTTGAAGGGTACTAGCTAATAATGGAAATCATAAATTGCAGCCATGATAGACCAAACACATATATGTATTCAAAATTGTATTGTGTTGATCAATTACATACAAGACACATGATACAAACTCATGAAAAGTACATACATGATATGTCATTTGTCGCAAGCTGGGTTGGACAAAAAAACCCCTATAATATCCTAATTTTTCATCTTTTTGGTGAAATATATTATTTTAGTTTAAGGGGTTAAAAAAAAGCAGAAGAAGAAGAAGAAGAAGAAGAAGAAATCTCACTTTCATTGCTTTATAAGAGTTGGAATGATTGTCATTGTGAATTACGTTGGAAAAATCTTCCACCACCCTCTTCACTAGGCAAATTGAACAAACATTGAAGGATCTACTTCAATTGCAAATCTAAAGAAAAGGGTTCATGTGGTCCTTGATATTGACGTATTATGGTTGAGCAATTCCCATCATTATTAGTCTTTTGAGGCATATGTTACATTTGTAAAATAACCTAAATAGCTACTTTAAGGGGGAAATTTAGCCAAACGCTTCAAATCTTGATACCATTGTTTCCCTTAACAAGCCCATCAAGAGTTTAAAAGACAAATTTGTTGGGTCTAAGGGAAAATCTTGGTTTTAGTATAGGAAGGGTTTTCCTTTTCGATGTGTGAAAAATCAAGTAGTGGTGACAAAACTATCAATTATGGGTCAAGTGTAAATTTCTAGATTATTCCCCTTAGCCTAAATCTACACACAAATTTCTTATAATACTTGTGAAAGTTATCATCTTGTATTGAGCATATTAGAGTGTAAACATTTAATTAGGAAACATAGCACATCAAAATATCACATTGAAAACTTAAAACTTAAATTTCTATATTGGAGATTGTTCTTTTTTTTTTTTTTTAATTCAAATTATGCACATTAAATTAAGTTATTTCTTTAGTTCGGTTAAAGGCAACTAAACCGTTATTGAACTAAAAGATTTTAGAAGGAATTACCTCCTGCATTCTAGAGATAAAATTTAAGAACAAAGTCATGAAAATGAAATTGAAAATAGACAGTCAATAAAATCGTCTTCTTATACAAACGGGCCTAGTGGTAATATCTCTTGGCCCATAAAGCCCGTGGGCTGTTGAGCTGTGAATATCATTTCGCTCAAGTTCGGGTACTTATTTTTTCGACTCTCTTCACTAAAGCCCAGAACATCTCCTATATGAACTTAAGCCCATGAAGTTTGGCCCGATTTGCAAATTGATCCAAACATTTTACATACAAGACCGTTAGGTATAGTTGGAGTCTCGGAGAAGAAAGGATCTTTGTTCCATTGTTTCCGGCGACACTAAGCTCAGTATTTCACTTCCTGAATCCTCAAAAAGGGTGAATTTTCCAGGTATTTTCTGCATTTTTTTATTTTAATTGTTGATGGGATTGTTGGGTGGATGCAAAATCAGTTTCTACGGTTTGAATTTGGTACTTTAATGATTCTGTTTCGCAAATTCAGCAGATGATCTGATTTGCATTTTTTTCAATTTGAATGTTGGAATCAACAACTGTTTCTGGTTAGATTCTTGGTGAATTTGTTTCTCAGGATGTTGAGATGAAAGAAAGGAGCCCGATCTCTCCGCTCAGGCGCATTTTGGTGAATTGTGGGGCACAGGTATGTCGATGAGCTCTGTTTCAGCATGCCCCTTTGATCATTTTAGCATTTTCTTTCTGTTTTTCTCATTGTTTTAGCTGGTCTATAAAAAGGTGTGATCTTTGCAGGCAAAAGATTATGGGGCCTGTGTGGCTGCTAAAGTTCCGCAAGTTGAACGTGATATGTGCTTGAAAGAATTTGTTGCACTGAAGAATTGCATGCAGAATACGGTATCTTATATTCTTAGCGTAGGATAAGATGGAAAATTGTGTTTTTGTGTGTTGTATGAAAGTAAAACATTTGGTAGTTATAATTTTGTACCCTTCTAGAAGTCGTACTGACATGCATGCTTTGTAATTTTGGTTGAAAAGCTCCGCAGAAAGGCTTAAGTGCACACTCTTGTATCAATATAGGGTTTGGACATCATCAATTGCATGAACATTGTAGTTGAAACTTGAAAGGAATAGAATTTTGGCAACATGTCTGGGAAAGCATCAAGTTCACAGTCTACTACTGGCTTTGGGTCAGGTGGTCTGTCACACGTTTATATCCAGCATCAGCCTCTACATTGCAGCATTCGTGGATCTAGGGGTTTATTTTATGATGATGGAACTAAGTTGCTCATTTCCACAACATCTAATCAGGTGATTTTTTTGAAATAAAATAGTTGTTTTCTCCAAGTTCATCTTCATTGTGATTCTTTTTGCTGTACTTTAAATTTATTGTTTTGGTGGATGAAAAAGACTTCACTCTTCTTTTTTTTTGGTGTTTTTTTTCTCTCCTTTGGTGTGTAGGTCATTTCATGGAAAACTGTTCCCTTTTCCCCTTTTGCCAACCCTACCACTGATTCAATTAGTGAAGGACCCATATTAGCTGTTAGGTTTTCTCTAGATGAAAAGCTGATTGCGGTCCAGCGGTCTAACAGCGAGATACAGTTTTGGCTTAGAGAAACAGGTGAAGCTTTCAATCAAAAATGCAAGTCCGAGTCAGAGAGCATACTGGGATTTTTCTGGACAGATTGTCCATTATGTGATATTGTAGTTATAAAGAACAGGTAAGGAGAAGCTTCCTGTTTGTCTTTTTTGAGTGTGAATAATCACTTCTGTGTCTTGTATTTAATGTTGCCTTGAGCTGTTGGGTAATAATACAATTTTACATGATATTTTAGGCTAGAATGACTTACCTGGAAGCTTTATCAGTTGTCCTTGATCATGTGGATAACTTTGTTTTTAGAGCTTTTATATTAGCCATGCTATTAGGCACTCTCTATGTTTGTTTTGACCCTGAAACAGTTTGCTCATGCAAGCAGGAACTTATTTATTGGCATTGATCAAAGACAGGTGATTAATATGAAAAAGAGAAAGTTAGTTGGAGTAATGATCATATGAGCCATTTAGATTTCTTAAGGACCTATTTTTATTGCCTGAGACCACTTAAAATTAGTTTCTGATTTTGTTGTTAGCTATGTTAGTAAGTAAAGGCATTAGCGTTTCCTCCAGTGTAGAGAAATTTGTTTAAATCTTTTTTTTTTTTTCAAGTGTTGACTATTATTTATTGTTGTTGCAACCCGCCTCCCCCAACCCGATAGCTCTAGTCATCTTAGCTTGCCTTTTCAAATTAACTTTTTATGGCTTAGTATTTCTCTTCCTCCATCTTGTAATTTACCTTTTTTGTGCCAAATATTTTAGTGTTCTAAATGTACTGAAATTGAACCCAATCACAGTGGCTTAGATTTGTATGCTTTTGATCTCGTCTCAAAAACGCTTATCCTGGTGGAGACAAGGAAATTGAATGTTAGTTGGTATGTCTACACTCATGAGAGCCGATTAGTTCTTCTTGCTTCTGGAATGCAGTGCAAGACTTTCAATGGATTTCAGGTATCACTTCTAGCATTTTTCTAATTTATAGGAAATCATCTCGGATTAGGCCTTATTTTGGTCAGGATCTGGTCTGATTGCTCTAGCAAGAAAGTAGACTAAGAATTGGATTTGGAAAAGATAATTTTTTTCTCTGATATTTTTGTGTGTACTAGTATATGTGAAGCGTCATTAATTTTGAACTAGGCAACATAGCCAGCTTATGTTAGCAAAATATTGTTCAAGAAATGTAATAAATTTTTGTTTCCAATGTGGAGACTAGGGGAATTGCCATGTTTCATTCACATAAACCACTTTTGTTCTCTCCAAAGACATGATTAATTGATTGTTGCTTCTGGAAGACAACCTTTATACTCTTCTGCTTGCTAGCATCTTTTCTTTAAACATCAATGTCTAGGTTATGTTTGGATTGAGAAAAACAAGGGAAGAGAATTTAAGACAATTCAAGAATTTTGATTAACTAAGTATTAATGGCATTACTTTTTATCCTGGCTGTCAGTAATATGCTATTCGGTGTGCATGCTTGGTGATTTGTTCAGAATAAATGCCTCTGCCTGTTTATCTTTAACTTCTAAACAACATTATAGAAAATTTGCAGTTGGTTACAAAAGTCACTTGCTTGGATAATCTTGTCCTGTCTTATAACTTTCAACTTCTTTTATTATTTTGACTAGTTTTTATCCTTCCTGTTTAGCTTTCATCGGCAGGCATTATTCGATTGCCAAAGTTTGAGATGGTAATAGCTAAATCTGAAGCTAACAGTAAGCCTGTCCTTGCTGATGAAGATGTCTTTATTGTCACCATGTACGTCTCTTTTCTTCTTCTTCTTCTTCTTTTTTTTTTTCCTTTTTGATCCTGATACAAAATAATTGCCAAAATTAATCTTTAAGATTTTTCAATATTCACAGCTATGGGAGAATATACTGCTTGCAAATTGATAGAATTTCTATGCTACTTCACTGTTATAGATTTTACCGTGATGCTGTTGTACAACAGGTAAAGCTTTGGTCAATATATCTTCTTTCTTGTTTTTGCCATGATATTCTCTCAAGTTCAATCATTTTAATTTTCTCCAAAAATTTTCACTCAGAAGCCTATTTCAAGTAATCCATCCCTCAGACTCCCATTAAAATTTTCCATAATGTAACCCTCCATGATATGAGAGAAAACTGAAAGAGAGTTCCACTTCTCTAATAAAAAATATCTTGTTCCCCAAACATTTCTAGAATGACGTGAATAAAATGGTGGTCATGGCATTTAATTGCAGACTAAATACAGAATAAAATGACCTAGCTGTGGAAGTCTTGTAGCACCTTTCCAGGTTGCCATGAACAAAATAAACCCTTAATAGATTGTAGATGGGCAAGAAGCTGGTATTATTAACTTTACTAGTTGATCCAAAGTTGAATTTGGGGCCATGAAGTAGCAACTTAGCTTCATATTTTCTGTAACAGCTAAATACACCTGAGCAATGATGCTCTGAATTTAACCTTTTTTGTTCAAATAATATGGAACCTATTACCATTGCAATTCTTTTAGTTTGTTGACTAAAGACTTACAGTCAGCCTGCATTTGTTAGTTCTTTAGTTTTGGTTTCGGATCTTCTCATCTTGTCAACGTCTTACTGTTTTTTCTCATTTTAGTCAAAATTTGGGGTGGCATATACATACATTAATGACTGGTGGTGCATGTCTTTTGATTTCAATGTTTGTGTACTGTATCTCAGTGGTGGATTTATTTTTCTTAATGACATTCATCTGGATGTGTAGGGTTCTCTGCCAATATATTCAAGCAAGGTTGCCATAAGTGTAGTGGATAATGTACTACTTGTGCACCAAGTAGATGCAAAAGTTGTTATACTTTATGACATATTTTCTGATTCTCAAACTCCCATATCCGCCCCACTTCCTGTACTTTTGAGAGGTCTCCCAAGGTCCAATAGTTTAACCTCTCAATCTAATGGTGGAGAAAGTGAAAGTTCAGAGACCTCTAATACCAATGATCATGAAACAATTATTTATGGGGATGACTGGAAGTTTCTGGTCCCTGACCTCATCTGTGATGTTGCTAATAAGCTTTTATGGAAGATCCATATAGACTTGGAGGCAAGTTTTGTTGGTCGTAATTATTTTTATATAATAGTTTTTTTTTTTTTTTTTCCCTTGGCAAAAGTTACTATGTAATAAATAATGCCTATGCTGACCATCCCTATAATACATTTATCCTTACAGGCAATTGCTGCTAGTAGCTCAGAGGTTCCATCAGTATTAGAATTCCTACAAAGGCGAAAGTTGGAAGCCAATAAGGTCAAACTCTTTTTCAGATCCCACAGTTATCCCAAACTTCCTTTCTTTTTCTTTTTTTTCCCCCCCTCTAATTGCTTTCATGGACATGAAGAAAATTTTCATCAAAGTGAATTAAGACACCAAATGCATGTTGAGTTCATTTTACAAATGACGAGAGGGTGTCATTTCATGCATGGACATGCTTCCGGGCATTCATTTTAAACAATGATCTATTTCCTTAAGGCATTCTAATGCCTTCCATTCAGGTTAACCTTGCTTAGCCAGTATTCAGTAATTGGTGCTTCTACTGTTTCAGGCTAAACAACTATGCTTGGCAATTACACGAACGGTTATTCTAGAATGCAGACCTGTCCCTATGGTTGCTAAGGCAATGGATGCCATAGTCTCCTCTTATTCTCTCTCTATCAAAACAGGCAGTTTTTTCAAGGGAATAAAGGTTGAGAGGAGTCTCACAGGTGTACCAAATGTCAACAGCACTGGTTCAGGTACTGATGTGCCTACTAGCCGAACAGATGGATTGGGAAAATCCATCAAATATGAGTCTAATTCCAGATACAACAGTGGACTCGTTAATAGGTCTTCAAGTTATTCAGCTTCAGATTCTGAGGATAATGGCAGCTCTGAACCACTGAAAACCATCTCAGATAATACCCCTGAAGCTCAGCCATCATCTTTACAATCTCAACCTCCAGGACCCATTAACAATCTAGTAAATCCTAATGTCTCAGAGCAGCAGGAGACTCAGCTTGCCACACCTGCAATTTCACCTGATGAGATGTACAAATTTGTATTTGCTGCTGTTGAGGAAGAGATGGTTGAAGAGCCTTCTTATCTAGTTGCTATCCTTCTTGAGTTCCTTCGCAGGTATGCAACTAAATGATTTCCTTTCTAGATGGATGTATGCAGCTTCGTTAAAAATGGGCTTCAATCTTTTCTTCTTCTTCTTCGTCTTCTTCTCTCTTTCTTTCTCTCTCCTTTTATTTTATTTTTTTCTGAAAGGCAAAAATGAGCTTCAATCTACAAAGCAGGGACTCTCTCCTATCTGACCTATTTGCATACGGACACTGGACACAGGCAGAGCTCCAATTTCTAATTAAATTTGATTTTTTTTCCCATTATATGGAAATTACCAAGAATGATTAGGGCAGTTGTTTTAACAAGCTCTCAGCCTGGCTTTCTAACCAGCAACTGCAAATATAGCATTGCCATTGCTGAGTTTGTAGAAGTATACAGTAGATCAGAGCAAACTGTCAAAGAAATTGGTGTTGGATTTCCAATTTTGGATCATTATTGATCACTACGAGAAACCTTTGGCATTGTTGTTAAAGGAGTGCATCAATAATTAGATTTGGAGCAGATGAAAGAAATTGAACTACATGGACCTAACCAAAATATGAACCAAGCCACAGTAATTTTTCATGATTTGTCCAAACATGAACCAGCTTAATGACTCATTTTAGAGTGGTTAGTCCAAGTGATTTAACTGATAGAATGTTGTACAACGTTATGGGAAATTAAGGAGCTAATCGGTGTCATTTTAATGTATTTGTCTTTCTCTGTGCAGTGCTAATGTGGAAAAGGTCAAAGTGCATCCAAATATTTATGTGTTAACCATACAACTATTGGCCTGCAGTGATCGGTATGCAGAACTAGGACTGTTCATCATTAACAAGGTTTTAAAGCCTTTCCCTCAAATTCGTTTATTTTCATTTTTCTTTGATCTCTTTTTTGGATGGCATCAAAATGATCACCATTTGTTTAACATTGAATTATCCTTCCATTTAAGAATGAAACTCTTCTGTTACAGATTCTTGAACCTTCAAAGGAAGTTGCTTTTCAGCTCTTAGAATTGGGGCGTGAAAATCTCCAAACTCGGAAGCTGGGCTTGGATATGCTAAGACAGCTCTCTTTACATCATGACTATGTGCTGTTACTAGTGCAAGATGGGTATTATCTCGAAGCTTTACGTTATGTACGGAAGCATAAGGTAATTCTTGCAAAGGCAATTCCTGAGGAAAAATAAATTTTTGTGTTGCACAATTTATTAGATAAACTAGTAAAGCTTATAGCTAGCAATGTTTTGAGAAACCAACTTCTATTCAAGATGCATGACCAGTAGTTCTTGTACTTAAGTATTTACTACCTAAGAAATTCCTTGAGTTGTACTAATTATTTGATATTATTACGGATACAATGATATTTATTGAGATATCAGGCCTTTTGCAATTCAACCTTGTTTTGGAGCACATAAGAATTGTTTTGCATAAAAATTTGAAGACTTATTTTTCTTAATGTTTCTTGAGAATGATTTGGTAGGAAGAATGGAATCTTCCTATCTTATTTCCCAAAATGATGACATGACTGTATGAATATGCACATGTCACGTCTTCATGCTTCGTAAGTATAAAGTTGCTTATAATTTAATATGAATCTTATCACATTCAGCAAAATGTTTAGAAAGACTGCTCTAAACCAGAATTGATGTATTGTGCAGGTCACTGGTGTTCGACCCTTGTTGTTCCTCGAAGCAGCATTTGCATCCAATGACTCGCAACATCTAGCTGCCGTTTTGAGATTCTTCTCAGATTTTATTCCTGGCTTTCAAAGCACCACAGATTTCTGTGCATACCACCGGGTTCTTGGTGAGATGAATGGAACAATCACTGTCTGAAGATCGAAGCCAAATAAGAAAAAAAGATGCATCAAATTGCAATCCTCTTGCCAGTAATCAGTTAGCACTCAAATCCTGTCTCTACAAGATGGAAAACAAACTGTTTTGATGAGTAGGTGGGACAAAAGGGGATGTGTTTCTTTGAGCCAAAAAAAAAAAAAAAAAAAAACTAAAGTTCTTCATTCTTTGTTGGATCCCAGGAGGCTGGACACGAAGGCAAAAGGTAATCACTTTGTCCCTACAATGCCATATGTGATTTGGAGAGTTCATACCCAATCTAAGCTAGTTTCTTGTGATTTGGAGATTATAGCTACTATAAATTGTAGCTTGTGCTTCTTTGTATCATCAAAATCATTATCTTTATTAGGCAGAATCCAACAACTAGGATATGAACTTCTTTACCTTTTTCTAAACAAATAATACAGGACGATTGCAAAATCAAATTAAAAAAAAAAAAAAAAAGGTTTTTAACAGCCTAATTTCTTTCCTTACAAGTTATTGATTTGATTGGACCTTGGAAGTCTTATACTTTCTATAATGATTTTTGATCATTACATGCATGATCATAAGACAAACACCACAGGACAACCACTGACACAAGATCATCTTTTGGGACTGTTAGTTTCATGTTTGGGACATGATTGAAAAAGTGATAATGTGGGTGTTAGCGTTTGGAAGGAGGTGGGGGTCATTTATAAAGAAGATTTGCGGTCATTTATAAAGAAGATTTGCGGTTCATTTTAACTTGCTTAGGTTTTAGGGGTGGTAATGTGATTTAATTAACAAAAAATTATGAGTTATCAAAATCGTTTAACCACCATTTTAACCACCAATAATGGTGTTTTTTCTTTATATGAAACTTTATATGAAACTCTACGATTTGATTCCTTTTGCCTTCTTTTAGATGCAGTCAAAATAATTTAGAAATTATCATTTTCTTATATTTTATCATTTTTAAGCATCTAAATTGTCTTTTATAAATAGGTGCTTGTGCAATATACAGTCTTAATTTGAGGAAGTTGCAACTCATGATATCTCATATTTGGGTCGATAATAGGAGTACCATCCAAACTTTTCACCCAATTGGTGTTAGGGCACTTGCAAATCTCCACCTAAAGTTGCACTCATATTAGCCATTGGATCAAAATGCTAAAAATGCAATGGATTGTTTCATTGGCCAGGATTACTTGTCCCTCAAAAAGCGCCTTTTTTTTTTTTTTCTCTGGTCTCTTAAAATTCGAGTTGATCAAGTAATTGTTAATAGTGGTTTGGTCCTAACACTTTTTACTACTTGCAATAACACTTTCTCTCCGTTACAGGATTTAGAGTGTTAATTATAACAAGTTGCGTGTAACCTTGTTCACTAAATTCCTTTCTTTTTGGAAAAAAAAAAATTTTTTGGAAAAAAAAAAAATAATAAACACCTTGATCACTAAGTTTCCCATCTTTATAAATCTCATGATATGGCATCTAGAATCAATCTGCTCCTATAGGTGCAGATAAGAATATCGACTTCACTATTTTTTCTATTTAAAGAATAAACTTTATCAGTTATTAAATAAAAATGGTTAACTTTTAAATTTTTTTATTTAAGAATGTTAATTATATGTTTTTTCAATTTAAGAATTAATTGAATGGTTAAAAAAGTCATTTGTCATATTAGCATCACCATTCCATTAATTTTTAAATAAAAAGAAATTACAAAGTTAACATTCTTAAATAAAAAAATTGAAAATTTATCAACTTATTTAGATACTAACAAAATTTGCATCTTTAAATAGAAAAAATAACAAAATTTATATCCTTATTTGCACTTTTTCATTCCAATCCTAGTTCCCTCCAACTTTCATCTCTCTAAAATAGGTAGGAAATCCTAGGGCAATTCAGCGTTGAGACAATTATGGTATATTGGTATTCTTATCCAGAGTAGATCTTTACCCTTTTTTATCAAAAAAAAAAAATAATTGTTACACCTTTCAGTTTAACATACTTTTTGACACTTATTTAATCGAGTTATTAAAATGTAATATAAATATAGTTAATTTAGCCTATTTTTGTCTAGTGTATGCACAGTTGCATCTCTAAATTTGTATGTTTTTAATTTTGTATAAAAAAAATAATTTTTTAATATATATTATGTAATGTGTTAAACTAAAGGATGTATCAATTAATGTCATTCATTAAAATAAATGGTAAAAAGTTTACAATCCACATGGTGAAATTCACTATGGAAACTTCTGAGAGGAACATATACATGCATCATCATACATTTTTTAGATTGAGGTTATTATCACTATTAAATTTATTAAAGACACGGCTTAATTTAACAAATTATTTATTAACTATTACTTATTTTTCATTTTAGTTTTATATCTTTATTTTCTTTCAAATTCTTCTATAAACTTTCAAAATTATTTCATTTTCATCTATCTCACACAACTCCATTAATTCTATTGACGGAATTTCACCTATGCTGCCATGTAAGTAGCCACGTAGTAGAAAAAATTTCCCACTTCATTGTTTCTCTTTAAATTTTTTTGGCCACCGTTTTCCTTTAATTAAAAGAACACCTGTTGCTAGAAAAATAGTAAAGGTTTTTCTAACATGTGCCTAAAGGGTATAGGTTAAAAATATTTTTT